GAGAGAGAGAGAGAGAGAGAGAGAGAGAGAGAGAGAGAGAGAGAGAGGGAGAGAGAGGAGGAGGAGGAGGAGGAGGAGGAAATGGACGAAGTAGAGTGTTCTATTAATGCAGAGAGATAATGAAGAGACGGAGCCAAGCTAGAGCTCCGGAGTTTTACTATTAGATTTTTTCCAATGAGAAAGAGAGAGAGAGAGTAGTCTGCTTGCGTGAGTTGTGGTCGTTACTTAAAAGATCCATGGTTTGTTACTGTCAATAAATAAAGGGCGAATTGTACTTTATACCCCCAAAGAATTTAGAAATTTTTATTGTGCACTTTTAAATATTAATTTCTCATATTATACCATTAATATTTTAAAATTATTGTAGTATTTCCTTTAATTATTTTTATTGCTTATTTCACCAATGTTAATAAGATGGTTCTTAGCAGAATAAATAACAAAAGCTAAAAAAAAAAGTTACATTACAATATTTTTAATATATGAAGGGTGTAATATAAAAAAGTTAATCTTTAATAATACAAATTAAAATTTTTTAAATCTTTTAGGGTATAAAGTATAATTCTTCCATAAAGTAAATGAATTTTTTTTGGGGTTTAATTATACTAACAATCTGCATGACATGTCATGATTTTTTTGAAATTATACTAAGTTCCCACTATATTTGGTTCAATTTTGGTGTTGCACTTGAACCAATGTAAAATATAGAGTTTCTTTTTTTTTTTTTCTCCCCCTCCTCGCTTGACCATCTCCAACCTATATCATCTCCCTGTCAAGCCACCATCCACCGACCACTCCCTCATTTGGGCAAGGTGGATTTCGGTGTTCAAATTGGACAAATTGCAGTTTGGGTCGTGAATTTACAATCAAAAGTGAGAGGTGTGAGGAAGTAGGTGTTGATGTGAGTTCGATTGTTAGGATGATACAACGTTAGAAAAGGGAGTGAGAGCAAAAATGCTAACGTGTAGGAGAGAGATTGAATTGGGTGATACATGGTGAAAATAGTGACTTGAGGATTTTATTTTTTTGATGAGATTTGCACCGATTTTGCTGCTTATGTCGTTAAAAATCACCCCACCCCATACTTGAAGGGAATTGTAGGGCTTAATCTAGGTGATTTTTAATTTTTCACTATCTTTTACGAAAATGAAAGTTTGGAAAAGAGTCATTGCTGTCAACAACTTTCGTCCGTCAACCTAACCATCCACTAGCGGAGTGTACCACATCAAATATAATCCAAAATAAAATAGAGCGGAATATAGTTTAGAAAACTATAAGCACATATTTTATAATTATTAAAAACTATAAGGATGTCACTATAATTTATTCATTTTTGTTTTGTTACATTCAATAAATGTATATGGATTCCCCGATTTTTGTGTGCCATGCAAATGGCTTATTGCTTTTCTTTTTTGCTAAATATAAATGGTTAATTGCGTTAGAGATTCTCAAAGTGTGGAGTTTGTCTTATTTTGGTCTTTAATATTTAAATTATATCATTTTGGTCCCTAAAGTATTGAATATGTTTGTATATGGGTTTTTCAAGCAGACAACGTTCAAATTACTACGATTTTTTATCATAAATTTATCACACAAAATAATTTTAATAACTCTTAAACAAAATATGGATAGTTCTTAACAAAAAAGTGTAATATGGGTAACTTTTGACCAGAATTTAGATCAAAATTGTATAATTTGGATAGCTATTTAACCAATATTTGAGGAGAAATTTGGTCAAGAATTATTCAAATTATTTTTGTGTTCATATTTAAGTATCACGTGACAAGTTTATAATAAAAAAATCGTTAATAATTTAGATATTATCTGCTTGAGGGACCATATATAAACATATTTAATATTTCAGGGACCAAAATGATGCAATTGAAACATTATGGACTAAAATAAGACCAAACTCATACTTTAAAAACCTCCGATACAATTAACCCAAATATAAAATGAGATTAAAGAGAGAAAAGTACAATAATATAACCGAGCACCAATACTCGATACACGCTCGAAGGTCACATAAGATAATTCTCAACTTAATCTATAATAAACAAGTATATAGAAGAAACTACACCTATGATCTAGAAAACTATATACGAAAAATAGAGACACGCCCGCACTAATTTGCTTCCCCTAACCACATTTGCATCTTCTAGAATAATTGCATATTGTTTATATCAACGAAATTTAGGCATTTTTTTTTTACCCCTTTCCTTATGTTTCTAGATGTAATTTGGTTTATTTATGGGGTATACCTTTTGTATACGAATACTTTTGATTAATAAAAATCATCTTACTTATCGGAAAAAAGAGAGTTTTAAAATGATTTACGATTTCAATTTAACAAAAAAACATCAATTTTTGGCCTGTCACTGCTCAAATACCTAATAACCTCTGCATTTTTTTTGGGTCAAAATTACAAGATGTCACTGAAATTCATTCTATTTACATTTATGACAACAAGTATAAATGTCTATAGTTGAGATCATCGCCTAGGAGAATAGTATTAACGTAAAATACTTGTTTTCATCATAATTATTATAATTATAAATGTCCGGAAAGAGAATATTTTAGTCATCATAGTTATTTATGTATTCATAATTTGTGACTATTGAATGGGAAGAGTAGTAATGACACTTGTAGAAAATAATGTTTGGGAGAAGAACAATATTATAGAGACCTATTTAAGGACTTAATTTAATATAGTTATTAAATTAATTGTGAGTTCTAATGTTATATGAAGTATAATTTTAATCCAACAACTGTAATTAATCAGGTTTTAAGATTAAATTTTCAAATTAGGTTCAATTAGTATTTCTTGAAAGAGAATATATTTACTCATCATAATTATTTATGTAGTCATTAAGAAAAGACTACAATACCGAAAAAAATATTGGTACTGTATCTCTAATTTTATCATTTTTGTTGGTGTTTTTATAATTTTTGTGAGTGTTTCTACAAAAAAAAATGTACAATTTTTTATTATTACTAGTAATGCAACGCACGTAAATAAATTTAAATAATATTGTTTTATTAAAAAATATGAATTATATGTATAATTAAATTAAATAATAAATTTGAATTTAAATAATTAATATATTTTAATTATTACTAATTTAAATTATTAATTTATTCAATAAACTTTGAGTGCTTAATGTATCATTTAATTAAGTATCTCTCCGGCTTTTTTAAGCATTTGACATTAATTATATTATAAAATCATTAATTTTTATTTTTAAAAATAGATTGATTAGATCATTCATAATGCTATTTATATTATTGCATACCAAAAAAATAAAATATAATATATATTTGACTATGTAATTCAATATGATAACTACATTTATGTAATAATTTAACATATATATATGATTTTATTTCTTCACATAGATTTAGAAAATTGTATGTAATTGTACTACTAATAAATGAGTTCAAAAAATATAAAAGTCCTTATAAAAGAGTCCAAAACAAATTAAAAGTCAAATATGAGTAAAAAATAAAAATTAGATAAAAGTATATATATTGGTGGATATAATTGATTTTATTATAATAATTAGGATTAAAATAAAAAATCAAAAAATTTTCACATATGCTGACAGATATAAATAGTATAAATTATGATAATTATTTTTATAGTAACTTAAAATCAATCCTAAAATATTATGATCGATCGCAAAGTACCACCAAAGTGATTTTGTATAGAGTAGACAACTCTATTAATAACTTGTTACCATTGAATGCAAATACTCCCTCCGTTCCTAAAAATATGTCGTTTTACACAATTTTTTTTGTTCCATA